ATGCAACAAATATCTCAGATCCAAAAGAGGCTGATCTGCCCACACTACCATGCACTGTAAAAGGTATTGCTAAATGGTAAAAGTGGCAATGAAAGACAGAGGGAAGCACTGCCCAATCTGTCTACATCATAACTTGAATGTATGACATTATTATGATTCTAATGAAAAAGCAATTGTTTTAGGGTCTGCTTTCAGAGTAGGATATCTTACTATGTACAAATCCTATTTAAAAAGTGCAGGAAAAAAATGCTGTTGAATTCTGGAAATATTTGTGATTCTGACCATCTCTGGATTGGGTCCTCCACTGAATCAGGCTGCAGCTAAGCTGGCCAAAAATATTGCCCTGTCTTAATGCATGTGAATACATGACATCATCCACTGCACTTAGCCCTAAAAATAACGTATTAGCAACACTGCTGAGGTTCTCCCGTCTCCCACAATGCCACTGTGAAGGAATTCTAAACCATTCCTGAAAGAAAGGGCCCTTTCTACATTGCTGCACGTAATATGACTCAGAGGCACAAATTGTTATCACGTTAAATAATTTGAGGTTGGAAGAGGTCAGTTCCCAAAGAATGTACAAGAATCAAAGGTTACTGAAATATTTATGGATGACATTGCTATAATTGCTCTCAGGAAATACACTGAAATGCTGTCTTAACTAGACAGTTTATTATCTTTACTAGGGATAATATATCTAATTCATGCACATCCTTTGTGTCAGACATTAAAAGGGTGCCTCATATGATCTGTGTCTCTAAAGGAAAGCAGCTCTAGTAAATCAGCAGGATTTGGGAGAAAAGGAAAAGTAAATTAACGATAAAAAAATGTGCAGTGAGTCCCTTAGAAAGTATAGCTAGACTTCATTGGGTTCTTCCTTCCAAAAAACATTTTTAATTTAAATACATCTTTTCTTTCTTTCAGATGTCCCCTGCAACTGGGACCAAGCCAAAACAAATGAAGCAGACTTCCCTTTGGGGATCAATTTCTCCAGTCAATGTATGAGATTTACTGAATGGTGGGATTCTGTTCCAAGCAAACAACTGAAGCCTTTGCTTAGAAGGTATTTTCAAATTTGCCTGCACTGTCTGCTTATATATATACTCTAGGGGCAATCCAGCCTGGAGAAGGCCAGGATGTATATTACTAAACAGATCTTTTCCCATCTCTGACTCCCAAGACGTGGCTACACTAATATAATTTGTCTGGACTCAGTTTAATGCATCTGAACAGTACAAAGGGGATATTTACAAAAGTCAGTACTGTCCTAACCTTTTTCATCAGTCTTGTAATAATCAATAATAAGAAATAGGTGTACAATGAAATTTCCTTGTGACTCCTGAAGAGTCCAAAGTGTTTTGAACTAAAGTATCATAATATGTTCAAGTACAAAATGAATCAATGTCATAATTTGAAAGTGCAAATTCTTTTGCTCTCTCTCCTTTAAAGTCTAAAGATACCATTGCTTGTCACTCTCAAAATCAACATCTGTTCCAAAATATCTGATAACCACATTTGAAATACAGGTAGTCCTCACTTAACAACCATTCATTTAACGATGGTTCAAAGTTACAATGGCCTCGGAAAAAGTGCTTTACAACCTGTACTCGCACTTACAACTGTCACGAACCATCTCACTACCCCCATGTTCATGTGATCACGATTTGCAACCTTTTTTACAATGGTCGTTAACTGAATCACATGGTTGTTAAGTGAATTCAAGCAAAAACATCCACTGGTGTGATGGAAGGCAGGAGTGGGGAAGGTTCTGGAATGGAGCTTCAAGGTTGCTAGGAGGGGGAAGAGACATTCCAGGGGAAGCACCTTCTCAGTCCCCAGCCAGAGTGTGGGAAGGCCAAGAGGATGAGACTGGCCCCTCCCTAGGGCATGATGGTTATAGTTACTGTTGTTGTGGTATAGATTTAGTCTGGCAAAATTCTATTAGGTGTAAGCTAATAAATGAGCTAAACTGTTCTGGAATGTCTCACTGTTGTTCTTGGGCTCAACCTGACAATTGGGGAAGCTGGATTTGTTTAATGACCAAGTGATTCACTTAATGATCGTAATGATTCGCTTAATGACCATCTCAAAAATGGCCAGAAAATCAGGCCTGGTCACGTGGTGACTTGCTTACCGACCACCTGGTTAACGACCAATTTTCCTGTCCCTATTGTGGTTGTTAAGCAAGAACTACCTGTATAAATTTCAAATCTGCATTAAATAACTCTTTAAATCTCAAAATAAATCTTAAAATAAATATTTAAATCTTAGAAGTATAGTTCATAAAAGTGGTAGGTTGCGAAATCAATTAATGACACTCAAAACCTGTGCCGTTCAACAAAGATGCAAAGAAGTGATTATGCTTCTATTTTTCTTAGGCTAACTACAGCATCCTATAAGTATTCACATGAAGAAAAACCATAGGTTATTGGAAAATTTCATGCACTACATGCAAAAAGCCCTAGCTTCAATCCTTAGCAACTTCACATTAGGTTCAAAATTATATCTCTCGGGAACTTTGGACAAAGAGGAAAATTTGGCATTTGCTATCTTAATTGCTCCCATTGTAAATATCTTTTTCCACTATTCCTCTTTCCCTCATCTTTGACCTGTTTCTTTTTACTTTTTCATATAAAGCATTGGGGGCTCATGGAAGCATTGTAGAAATAAATATAAGATTTATCTGACCTCATGGACAGCGAGGGCAGACAGAGAGGAAGGAAACAAACAAGGAAAGGTATCCCCTATGATCAATCTACCCCCACTAAAATCTGCCACCCATGACTTCAGAGATATAGCAGGCAGAATGTTTTCTCAGCCTTATATAGAACACAAATGCATTCAAAGCCTACTCAGACTGGATATGTACTGAACTCCAAACTAGACAAAGACTATAACCTAAGCATCTAACTACTACATAGTAATCAATGGTGGTATCAGAGAGCAACTTTCCAAAATCCTCCATGCATCTAATGAAGTTAGCTATACCCTTATTCCATCACTTTGTTAGCCTTTTGGATCAGAATTTGCAACTAGCATCTCTCCCTCTTTCAGTACTTATTTTTTAAGATTGGAGATTACATTTAGGGCTCAGTGGGAAAATAGCAAGGACTACTCTGGGAAAAATCAGTATTTCTTTAATACACCATGACAAAATCCAGAACTGGAGCAGATTATTAAATTTGGAAGGACACGAATTGAGATTTGGGTGGCACGGCTATTTATGGTATGATAAAGTTAAGACTAATGTGAATTTTAAGAATCTTTTTATTAGATGTGTCATTTTGAGGATTTGGAATAGATATAAACCTAGACTGTGTCCAAGAATACCCCTATGGTTATCCCCACAACAAGCATTTTATAGGAAAGAAATGGTAACTAAGCAGAAATGGTTAACTTATGGCGATATCCT